GAGCTGACGCATGATGCATCAGAGATGACTTTTTCAAATTAAGGCAGTTCGAGATGAATTTTGTGATAATTTTCAAAGGTGATAATTTTCAAAGGGAAAAGGGATACATGTTCTAAACACCTTTTAGAGTAATTCAATGCATCTAGACACTTTGGAAGGTTTTAATATGAAGGGATATGTCTCTTTTTTCAAATGACACATCTTCTGAATTAAAAAGAGTTGACTTTTGGAGGGAATTTTAAAGGGAATTTTGAATTCTTTTCCAACAGAGGCAGCCCGAAATAAAAGAAGAAGACTTTATACAGTTTGAGAGAGGCTTTTGTGTGTGACGTGAGGTAGAGAGAGAAACTGATGTGAGTTAGAGAGAGAAAAGATGAGATTTTCTTCTAAAGTTGTAAAAGGAGAGGGAAGGTGAGAGATTTCTTCTTCATTACACTTCTAAGAGAGACTTGGGAGTGATTGTAAAGTGAGAAAGGCTTGGAGAGAACTTCTAAGGATTTTCTTGGGAAGGATTGTGAGATAAGTTATATTTTTATTTCTTTTATTTTGTAAACTTATTTTTATATATGAAATTCATGTTTTGTTGTATCCTTCTCATGAATTCTGAGTAGTCTTCTTTATCCTTCTCTCTACTTTGAATATATGATTTTTGTGAAGAATAGATTTTATTTTCCATGGTTTTAAATGATAATAATTTGTGATGATTTGAACTCTGATCTTCATTTACTTTTTAATCTGGCCAATTGAAATGTTAAAACTTGTTGAGAGACATATGTTCTTAAAAGAGATACAATTTCTACAACATAGGGAAAATCACATTTGATTTCATAGGAGAGTATCTCATAGGAGAGTATGTCATCCTAGGAGAGTATGTCATCCATGGGATTTGGTGCAAATAAATAGAAAAATATACTTTGTTGGATGCAGAATTGGTGATTTTAAGGTGACAGTTTAAAACCTCCAATTTGGTTCAGCTGATTGAAAACTAGTGAGAGATTTTCAGCCCTCACGGGAGGGAGTAGTGGGAGCTCTAGAGTGGCAACCAGTATCCTTCCAGCCTAACAATGGAATTAGGAACCAAACTCTGGATTAGTCAATATACTTTACAGCACTTCGAAGAGGGTAAAGAATAAAATTGCTTCTATTTGGCACAAAATAGTTTATATATATATATTCAAATGATTTATATTTCTTCACAAGCCATATACTCATTGTAAAGGGGAAAGATGTTTTCTTAAATTTGAACTTTTTGTCACAACAAAAACTTTGTTTAATTTTCCCAATTTTACTTTTGAAAGTTTAGTATTTATTTTAGTTTAATTTCTGTAACCTTACATCTGCATTTTAATTAGCATTCACTTGAGTAGTCAATTTTTAAACTTTGCACTTTACTTTTATTTTTTGTTTTTGTTAAAAATAATTTTCATAATTTACTTTAGGATTTTCCAACTTTCCTGTGGGATCGATATCTAGGACTCCATTAGAGTCATTTGTTACTTGAGTTACTTGAGCAATACGTATACTACTTGCATTGATATTAAAAGAGATTTGGCAGTTTAAAAAGAGTTTTAAAAGATAAATTATTTTCATAAAAAGTATTTTTGTTGGGATTATATTGCATATTTATTATAAATTTGTCTGCATCAAGTTTTTGGAGCCGTTGAGTGGTGTCAACTTCTTAAATATTTGCATATACAAAATCTTGTATCAGCTATAAAAGAGATCTTAGCGCTACTTAGAGGAGGAGGATCATTGTATATGACCAAAAATAAGAGATTTGAGGGTTTGAATGTAAACCTTAGAGTTCTCTTCTTCTTCCTTAAAGTGGAGAATCTCTATGGTAGCTTTTCTTTCATTTCTCTATTGTCTTTTCTGTTGACTTCTATATGAGAATTGGAAAGATTGAAATGTGAATGTTAATTCCTTGTATGATAGGGGATTGGTGAGACATTGTATTGATCATGGAGGAGTGCGTTGTATTGTTGAGGATAGAGTGGCTCTAGACGAGTGTTCTGGACCTCTTGCACTACAATCTTTATTATTTCTGCAATACAAGTGTTTGTTGTTTCTTTTCTCATGCATTGAAATTAACTTTATTTCATGTTCATGTGTTGTAAGACATGTGGTTTTCTTATGATTTTCATTCTATGGATTTTCGGTTTCTTTCGACACATTTTTTATGCATTAATTTTTTGATGTTGATTGTTAACCTTGCAATCCTGATTTTCTTTTTCTCTGGCATGATAAGAATGTTAAAAATCTTTTATGATCTACGACTTCTTCCCCATAGAGGAATAAATGTGTTAACCCTAAAATCCTTGTAGAATAGACATACTCTATTCGGATTTTGCAACCAAGATAAGAGATCTGAAAAATCCAAAGAAATGTCATAGGGTTAAGCGAAACTTAACTTTATAGATTTCAAATTCTTCTTCTGACCTAAGTATAAGTTTAAGGAGAAAACTTATAACCCTGGTTGTCAACAATATTGTGGGTCACATAGAAAACTTCAAGAAACTATCTAGCAAAAGTCACAAGAGTATGAATTTTGCATATTTGAGAAACTATACACATTTTTCTTGTCATTTATGTTTATTGCATGTTTAGGATTATCATATTCCTTTCTCATATTTGATTAAAAAATTTAAAATTAAACTTAGTGATTCGATGAACTAGAACTTTGCATGTTTGAGATATTTTAGCACTATCATTGTGGGATCGATACACGGACTCTTAGAAAACATATTACATGGCACGTATACTTGAGTGATTGACTGACTTACCTTGCGGTAAGTTTTCGACCATCACTTATTACATAATAAAGAAGCCAATCTTCACATTTAATTCTCTTAATTTTATCATCTTTGTCACTTTCAAGTAGTATGAGAATCAAGAAAAAAATATGTACATAAAAAATAGGATTGCACAAATCTCAAGAAAATTCAATATGTTTCACTAATTAGACACTGAAGGACTGTATCAGGATAATCAAACAACGGAGATACCAAACATTATTTCCTTCTGTCGAAATAATAAGTCGACCGAACAAAAAAACAAGAGCCACATGATCCAAGGGATAGTTAACTATAGCTAGCTCCCTCAAATGATTCTGAAATTTTTCACAAAGATGGCCCAAGAGCACGCCAATATCTTTCCAAATCTCTGAGAAGGCTTCTTATCCAAGAAGAGTGCTTGTTGGATTACAGTGATGCACCATATGCCCAAAGGTCCAAGTTCACCCTAACAATAATAAAGCCTCCATCAAGGATTCTCTCAAGGAGGCCAACTGAAGTTCCTATAGCTGGCTGAATGATGATTTGAAGACCGAATGACAAGACCAGCTGTTCATTAAATGTTTTCCACTTTTTTAGTAGTCGCCAATACAAAATGGTGCTAACATTAGTCATGTGTATTAAATGGTCCTAGAGTCTGTTATAAATGTAAAAAGATGCAATAATTACTTCTAACATTCCTAGTAAAATAGAGAGAAATATGTTCTTTTACTAGATACCCCTATGATTTATAAAAAAGGGTCATTTCTTCAACAAAAAAACTATTGAGCTTATCTTCAAGAACTTTTGTTATTGTATATTAATGAGTCCCAGAATTATTTACAAATGTGAAAAGGTCAAATAATTACTTGGAACGTTCATATTAAAATAGGACAAATATGTAATTTTAATATATACCTATATGAATTATAAAAAAAAGGGTCATTTCTTTAAGAAAAAAACTATTGAACTTATTCTTTGAGAATTTGTGTTATTGTGCATTGCTCTTCTCTCTCTATGTACCTCTCATCTATTCAACACTTTATTTTTATTTTTAGATTTATTTTATTTTAAAAACATATTTAATTGATAATTTTTTATATGATTTAATTTTTAAAATTTTCATTTTCTTAAATAATAAAAAACTAAAACATAATTTGAGTCTTGTTATAAAAACAATTGCAATCAAATATATTTTAATCCAAATCAAAATAAAAACAATACAAAAATAAAATAAAAATAAAATAAAATAAAAATAATCCCGAAAAGATTTTTTAAAGATATCTAAACAATAATTTTTAGTTATTTAAGTGCTTCGAAAAATAAGTTAATTTCATGTTAAAATAAAAATAAAAGCATGTAGAAAAATTCATTAAAAATATATATTTGAAATTAAAATAAAAACAAAAAATTAAAATTAAAAAAAATAAATAATTTATGTCCCACCTTCAATGGCGAATATTGTGAGTAAAAAATCAATTAGAGTTGGATACACTAAAAAATATTGAAGTATTAATATTTTATTTTATTTAAAAAACTATCATTAATAACATTTTTTATTTAGTTTTTAACTTTTAAATTTTATAATAAGCTTGAAGCCGTACCAAGTTTCCACGATGTCGTCATACATATTAACGCCTCTGAAATCAAATTACTAAGGCTAAAAATCTCCAATGAAAATATTATATTAGTAAATGCAATGGATAAAATTTTGTTCTCCTCTTTAAAAAAAATAAAAAACAAAGAGCCCAATAGGTCGGTCGTGAAGATAATTTGACCACTTAGCCGGCTAATTTTTAATAATTACAATTCAACGTCCCCAACGCCCTAAAGATGGAAAAAATGAAAGGGGGAAAAAAAAACTAATTAAACATTTATTCATACTTTACGATCTTTTTTTTCCACTCTCTTCTGCTCCTCTCTCTCTCTCTCTCTCTCTTATAGACGTACGCAGCGTTGTGTACATAATGAAAATTATATGGGCGTTATATTGTTATTATATTCGCGTTATATCCCTTGCAACCTTCATAAAACATCTACATAACTTACATGTAACATACCTGAACTTACAAATAAATTCCACGCTTCTGTTTTCATTTACTTGCAGGTTATATTGAAGTTATATAGAGGTTACAAAGGATATAACGTGAATATAATGTCGATATAACGCCCATATAACTTTCATTGTATATGCAGCTTACATCTTATATACACAATTTTTTTCCCTTCATCTTTAGCAGGTTTGTAAATTTTATTGAATATTTTTCGAAAACTAATTTGAATTTCGGCTGGAATCTAAATACCAACTTGCACTGAATTGCTTGAAACCGGACCGCTAACAGCCTACTCTTTACAAGAAAAACAAAAGCTTAACTAAACCTAACAAATTCTAGAAGACGACCAAATTAAATCAATCATCGCCGTAGGTCTCATCGGCGCTGGGCTGGCGATTCAAATCAGGGCCCTTAAAACGCTTCCCCGTCATCTTCGTCTTCTTCTGCACAAGAATCGCGTCAACCGCGGCACCGACCTCCGCGGCGCGCTTTCGAACGAAAGTAGGCGACAAAACCCCGCCAGCCACACCTGAATCGGCGGCGGGCACATCATCGGGGAAGTTCAGAAACGCGGATCGGCCGCGAAGGTAGAATACGGCGGTGTCGTAGGCACGTGCGGCGGCGACCGGCGAAGCATAGGAGCCGAGCCAGATTCTGGATCGCTTATTGGGTTCTCGGATCTCGGCGACCCATTTGCCCCATTTCCGCATCCTAACGCCGCGGTACGGACTCTGCTTTTGTGCCGAGGGCGAGGTGTCCATGGCGGGATGGGATGGGATGAGAGGGAAAGGAGAAAGGGGGATTTATAGAGAGGGAGGAGGAGGGAGATACGAGTAGGGGGAGGGTGTTGCTTGGCTGCCACGTATGGGAAGAGCTAATTGAGCGGAGGCACCACCGACATATGTAATGTCCTGGAAGCCGCCGACGTTGGGATCGCCGCTTGTCGTTGCGTGGCGGCATATCGAACGTGACGACCACCGACGTGGACTTTGGACCCCCACCACATCTTTAATTTCTTTAATTGTTTCTCAGAAGAGCTATCAAATAGGGCTGCGCGTACGGCTCCTCTTTATCTCCTTATGTTCAGCTCGTTTTCTAATTTAACAAGTCAAATATAAATAACACGAATAAAAATTTATTCAATCGTGTTCGTCTAAGTTTGTTGACTCGAGATATTATTAATTAATTATATATATATATATATATATCTCTTTGATAAATAGTATTTTTAAAAAAATTAATTGACTACAAGGCTATATAGATTTATAATCAATTATAAGTATTAATTAAGAAAATAGAATAAAAATTATTAAATTTGATTCAAATAATGTTTTAATATAAACAATAATTTTTAAATCTTATCCCAATCATTAACATCTTATGACTACCTGATTAGGGTTGTCAAAACGACTCTTTGTTTGTGAACGGCTCCTGGCCCCTCAGCTAAGCTAATGAGCCGAACATAAACACACTTTTTGAGCTCAAAAAATAAACGAGCCGAACACGAGAGTAAGCTGAGTCTGGGGTCTTCGTATTTGGCTCGTTTACACCCCTACTAGCAAGCAAATAGAAGTTTAACGTTAATATTATGCATATGTTGAAAAATAATAATGATGCATGATGCAAAGGTGGTCAAATTCACTTAAATTTTTGAAGCCTCTACTTATTTTTATGAGAATATTCAGTTGTGTGTCTAATTTAATAAAACAATTTACTATGTATTTTTGTAATTAAGAAAGTAAAGTGTGAAGTGGATGAATAACAAAAAAATTATCTCTTTGTAATCTTGTAATGAATATCATCGGCATGGGTCAAAGTTTGAGGGAGTGTATAGCTCATGTGAAAGTGAGTGGAATTTAAAATATATCTTTGGAGCATATAGGAAGGGGGGAGGGGGGATAAAGAAATAAAAAATCGGAACCAACCACCGAGAAATTTTTTCTAAACTATTGAAGTGAAGTATTTGTGCATGCCAAAATCAAACTATTGAGAATTTAATAAGAATGAAAAATATTGGTTGGGGTTTTATCATGAGTTTTAATGTTTGAGTGAGAATTTAAAAAATGGATGAAAGAAGGTTGTTGATTTGTAAATAGCAAGTTTTGGGTAGTCTATATGTAACTGCCCCATAAAAAATATTTTTGAATGTAAGTAATTGCTATTAGAGCAAAAAGAACAAAAAATTGATTCTAAGAAATGCCTCTCGAGGCTAAAGCATATTTTTTTTCATTCCTATTAAAAAAAAATTCATACAAATATGACATATTTAATTGCTTACTCTTTATAATAAATCAATTTGCTTTAGTTAGCCTTGGCAGAGGGGAGTATAATAAAAGAGTATGTACCTTTATGTGAAAAATAAGGTTTACTTAGTCATTAATAATTAGAAAGGTGATTTCATGATACAATACATGTTAGTTTTATTTGTTAATCTTCAACCATAGATTCTAAAAGATTTTTATTTTAATAATTGGAGACGTCATTTAAAGAATAATTTATCATTTTGAGAGACAAAAATATTACAATGAAATGAATCTGATCTACCACATTATGGAAATTTTTAGGATTTATGGGTCTAGATAAACCAGAGATTTTTTCCCTACCTTACAAGTATAAATTAGGGTTTATTTTATTTTAAGTAATCCTATCCTTATATGGGCAAGAAGTCATAATTAATTACAAGCCACAAATTGTAAACTCCTGAGAAAACTCTCGACTAAAATATTAGCTTGTATTATCTAGGATGTGAAGGTTGGATATTTCAAGATTAGTGTTTTAGGATTTTCAAATGAGGCACTTTCAGGCTTTGGAGGGATTTATTTATGGGATTCAAGGTTTAGAACTTACAATTTAACGACGATGTGTTGTGGAAAGGCTAATGAAAGAGATTGATCGACCTTGAGGGGGGAAGTGTTTCCAAGAGAATAAATTGTTTGGCTTTGAAGGGAGTTAGAATTGGTAGAGTTGACATGAGATTAGAAGAAGTTTGATTGAATAAGATAAGAATCAATTGGGTTTGAATAAAAATTAATTGGTCTTGATTTCTAGAAGGAATGGATATGATCGACTGGATTTAATTTCTAGTTTAAAGTTAAAGTATTAACCCTAAGAATAATCTTAGATTTATAAGGAGACAAAATAGGTGTAGACTACAAAAAATTTGGACATAATGTCTTCAGGCAAGATACCCATGAGTTTCTATCATCTCGAGCCATATGTAATCTTAGACTATTAGCCTGCCAGATACTTAGAGATCTCCTCTATTACCATTTTGATGGCGAGTGTGGTACTGATTGACCATTAGGTGGTTAGAGATATCTTCGTCTGTAACCATGAGTTACTTCATTCTAAAACACCAACATAATCTAAGAGTTTTATAGGCATTGGTGTTTTACATGCCGTCCTTAGTAACTACGTAGGGGAACTTAAAAATCTAATCTGGGCTTCTATACTATATTATTTTACGAGTGTGAGTGGACCTAGGATTTTATTTCTTTGTTAATTGACCTAGAGTTTATAGTTGATCAACTTATGTGTGGTTTCACTTATTCAAGCTAGTGAATTTAATATTTTTTTATTTGATATTTTAACTTTAATTTGGTTAAGTTTTATTATTTTTGGTCGACCGGAGAATCAAATATTGTAAGTTTTCTTAGTTTCTAATCTTTGTTGATTTTTTGACTTATTTTTTCATTTTATGTTTAGTTTCTAATATTAGTTTGTTGTTCTATCTTGAAGTTTTATTACCTTAGGTTTTTTTTTTTTAATTTTGAGGTTTATGTGTTAAATACATGCATATAAAAGATATTCACAAATATGCCAATTGATTATCATTTAATTCTATATTTAACACTTAAAACTGTCTTTTTAATTCTTTACATGCTTATTATTTAATTTTTATTTTAAATATTTAAATATTATCCTCAACATATTTTTTTTATTCTAAACTTCAATTTTTACAAACAAAAATATTATACTTTAAAATTTAGTTTTTCACTCCCAAAAATAAAATCATTTAAAATTTAAAATTTTCTCACAAAATATTTATGGACCGAATATTATAATTTTGAAGTAATCAAATCCGCGAGCTCTCAGGACTAGCCATGTCCATTGGAAATGGGAAGAGGGCATTTCTGGTGGATACCCTGGGACTGGTAGGTTTCAGCTTATTGGGACTGGTAGGTTTCCTGGGACTGGTAGGTTTCAGCTTATATATGTCTCTCTCTCTATCGAGTCTGTGTAAAGGCAGGGTTTTTGATGTAATGCCACTGAGCAGAATTGTTCTAAAGTTGTTTGATTTGTTGACAGGTGAGGAAATTGGAAGGGCAGAGTGTGCCCTGCAAGCAGGCCGAGGCGATTGCTTCCGCCATTAAAGAAGTTCTGAATGCTAGTTTGGAGAATGTGTCGCAATCATTTATATCTAGTACGTGCATGCAGATGGTGTGTGGTTTGTTTACATATATTTTTTTCGTTAGTTCTTCAAGTGGAAAGAAGATATGTGGTGAGTGATGTTTTGTTTTGCAGAGTGAGATAGTGCAAGATGCTAATCTCTCCAAGTTCAAGTCTGAGGTGCAGAGTTTACAGGTTTGTCGTTTTGTTCTCTTATTTTGGTCGTGCTTAGTGTTACAATATTATTGATGATTGATATTTTGTATTTTGCTTACAATTGCTTTTTTTTCTTTTTTGTGGAGACAAAGAAAGATTTTCTAGAATGTAAATAAATGAAAAAAATCGAGCATTTACAGACATACCTCCCAATTCATATGTACTCAAACTTTTTGTTGACAAATTAGGGTGAAGAAAAACAAGAATCGGCACAAATCCAGAAGAACACATAGAGATTTAACGAGGTTCGGCAAAGATGCCTACATCCTTGGAAGCAGAGCGGCGACTTCCTTTTCAATATTCAGAAAAGAATACAGAATACAATATTCAGCTCTTTCAGCTCTCTTCAGCTCTCTCAAAGACCTAGGATTACAAACATGTCTATTTATAATCCTAGAGTAAACCCTACAGTACAATATGTAATTACCAAATTACTCATATACCGTCTAGCGGGGCGTTGACCCAGCACCCCCAACTCACATAACGTAACTTCCCGATTTGGAGAGATTCTTCCGCCCGCTTCGCTTCGTTCCAACGTCTGTCCCTATATGGTATATGAGTCATACCATAACACTTTTGTTTTTATATTTATACCACCAAAATCTTTCATATGTAATATTTCATAAGAAATAGCAACATTTGAGTCAAATACTTCATTTCATGCATATGTAAAGTGGTATGCGTGTAAAAATTAAAGTTTAACTTTTAGATATGTAAAGTTTGATAGATATTAGAATTTACGTGTTGTAACGAGTCTCACTTTTTGAAAGATAATGATTATCATTGTTTTGCAATTGCTAAGAATAGGAAAAAAACACTAATAATAGCCTACTATATTGATGCCTTCATGTTATATAGAGATATCTGCTTGTAGTTTTGGTAAAGAGCATAGATGTACTTCAGACCATCCTGATATTGTGCTTTTTGCCAAGATATTATGAGGCATTTACATATGTAGCACATAGTGCTTATGTATTTATATATCTCACACCTAAGCTGCCATATTTATACACATATCACCCAAATCATTAATATCGCATCAAAAATAGGCCTATTATCATATTTTAAACGTGAAATTCACATTTTTCATGTATAGTTTTAAAGGACCAAAGTGTAATGTTTGTAAATATCAAACTTTAGGTGTGAGATATATAAAAACATATGTAAGTTTCCAAATTAGCTTTTTGGTGCTTGTAGTTTCCTCCTTGATGTTCACGAATCTGCAATCTGGAAGGCCTATTAAAATAATGCAATGCTCACTTTTGCACCATGATTATGATGCAAGAAGTCGTACTTTATTTATAGGTTTTTGTGATTATCATAAACATGCTGCTGATATTTGTTTTGGTGGCTCGGGTGGCGGGTTAATTTACTTGCATAAGACCCAATTCCTAAGTAATTACATATCTAAAATCCAAACTTTA